AGAAGAAGAAGAAGAAGAAAAGAAGAAGAAAAAGAAGAAGATATGTTTAAGCCAATTCCTGTGATATCAGGGTGAAAAACACGACGACCTAACAATTGGTCTGCGCTGAATGTGACTGAGTTGTCGTTTCTGGTTTTTTTTATCGGAAGTGACGTATTCACGTGGCTCTTGTCACTTCCTGTACTTAAACGAGACAGAGTTATCGGCGCGTGCCTCTCAACCTTTGACCTGTGCTAGGTCAGGTTAATATACAATAATGATTGATCCATCCAACCACTCTCCCCTTTTCTTCTCTCGACGGGGAAATATGGTTGCCAGGCAGACGGCAAGAATATCGACTGTTTCCCAGGCCGTCTTTGTTGAGGCATGTCATTTCATTTGTAGGTTTATAAATCTGATCTTTAAAAGGCATGCACGTGGCACAATCACAACTTGGTGATATGCGATTGGTGAGAGCTGTGTGTCCGTTCAGCGTGTGGCCCGTAGTGCTAGGGACTAAGCACGCGGCACTAAAAAGTCTACAAATTCTCATTTGTGGAGCTTTAAGCAATCATCACACACGCACGAACCCACTCACGAGAACATAAAATAATAATAATGTAAATATTCAAGTGAAAGGCGATGATATCATTGTTATGACTCTACTCCGAATGATTTGATATGTTTTTGGTTGTCCGAGTTACACATTCTGTGCTGGGATGATTACCTGACAGTCAAATAATGTAATACCGACCACTCACGCGCCTCGTTTGTCAGCTGTCAGACTGCCTAGACGGACAACCCAATCACTGCCAAGTCACACAGGACTAGCTGTTTGCTGACAGCACTTAGCTCCGCCCATACCTCCACATCGATGGCCACCTCCTACTTGTTCTCGTCAGTCGGTCGGTCCCTGGGAGGTCAACGTTTTCTCGGCCAGTGGGAGGTCTCGTGATTGAATCATCAGCCAGTGACCTCACCGAATCCTCGACTAGTGGCAGGACACCCCCTTTCTCCAATGCATATGTTGCGCTGACACAAACAACCAAACAAACTAACGGACAGTCGCCACACTCCCGTGTAGTCCCTGGGTCTTCTTCACGCCTGTTTCTTCTCCGCGTTCACCTGCTGCAAACTCAGGCGGAAAGTCCTGGTTGTTCGTCCACTTCTAGACTTTGCTTCTGTTCTAGGATTAGAATTGTGTGTTCACATCCGTTTTACAGATCTGACATATCAATGTGTAGACTGTTTGTTCATTGCCTTTCATAGCGACACACTCCGACCTTAAAGGGAGTATCACTAACTGGTCACCTTCTACAACACGCTTGTTGCGGGGTGGGAGGGGGAAGAAGGGGGAACAGTGATCATACCCCCCCCCCCCCCCCAACCGTCCCACAAATGGAGGCCACCCACATAATAACGGTCTCTGTCACGGATGTGCCACATTGGTGCCGGTGTCATCTAGAGTTATATTACGATATGGTTCTGGTTACATTTAAACTCAAAAAGAACTAAAACTGTAACAATTATACTCGACTGAGATTTGAACGTAACAATTATACTCGACTGAGATTTGATCGTAACAGTTTAACTCGACTGAGATTTGAACGTAACAGTTAAACTCGACTGAGATTTGAACGTAACAGTTAAACTCGACTGAGATTTGATCTAGATAATTTAGAGAATCCTGAAACTGCATAGATCTTCAGAGCACCTAAAGGAGGCACATTTGCAGTTTGAAATCTTCTAGAAGATATAAATTCACTGACACAAAACGTGAATGAGAGACTTGGATGCAGCAGAAGAAATCCTAGGTAACATAAAGACTCCACGTAAGCCAAGGATAACAGGTGACATCTTGAAATGATGCGACCGGAAATTAAAAAGGGGAAAAGGCAAACTCCAGCAAAACAATATAGCATAGTTAATTTTAAAATATAAGTGCACAAATAAAGATGGCACAAAAAGAATGGATTAGAAACAATTGTGAGTCCATTGACGTGGGATAAAACAGGGCAACGCCAAGGCGGCGTACAGGACAATAAAAAGTCTAAGCAAAGCACAAAAACCCATTTTAGAAGATAAGAACTGTCAAGTCCTCAATGGGAAAACAGCAATATTGGAGAGAACGACTGAGTATTGTAAAGATGTATATAGGCAAGCAAGAATCAGAGCCTTATACCACAGTCCCAGACACCATCGTATGGGAAAACACAAAAGTTGGCCACTCTGAAATATTGAGAGAAGAAGTTGTGGAGGCGATACGCTCATTAAATGAGGGGAAATAGCCAGGTGTCGACAATGTCCCAGCTGAACGTTTGAAATACGGAGGGTAGTAGAAGTAGCAGTAGTACATTCTACCCCACCAGGACATCACACAAGCAATAAACACCCGATGACACAAAGTGCCAACATGCGCATGAGGGTCATTCGTGGAGAGGTACCAGAAACCGTGTTCAGACATTAGACCATATTTATGGCCGGACTATATTGCGGCCCCTGGCAAGAGCCAGAGTGGGGCTTCAAACAACGAAACATTGCATCTCACAAGGAGATAAACTACCTAGAAACATGCTCCGGGGAGAACACGTGACTAAGGTGGTGACAGAAGTGTGCCAGAGAATCTGGGTCACACACAAAAACTGGCCAACTGAATGAACACAATCGTTTGTGACATCACTGACAAAGAAAGAATATCTGAAAAGCTGCAACAATAAAATAACAGTTAGTCCAATCACCCACGCAAACAAAATGTTGCTACAGATACTGCTCAACAGACTGAAAGCAAAATCTGAGGAAATACTTGCCGAAGAGCAGGCGGGTTTCCGGACAAATAGAAGCACCACAGAACACATTTTCAACATTAGAACGATGATAGAAAAACACAACATCAACGTGACCCATGACATAAATCTATGGATTTCACCGAGGCATTTGACCGTGTGTGGCATGCTGGGCTCTGGAAAACAATGAGCAATTTCAGCTTTGATAAGAACACCATAGAACACATGAACGAACGAAGGAAAGCACAAACTTTATTTTTAAAGGGTCACAAATGGGGCACGCAGGCCCGTCTTATATTTGGCCCATCCAAACACCCGTCTTTCACACTGCAATTGTATTTTATCAATAAGCATGTTATATTCCCATGATAATTTGCATATTATGAATATCAAGAGGGGGGGGGGGGACACGCAAAAACATGAGTGGTGTAATAAACTAGCGCACGCACACACACACACAAACACACAGACGCCCACCTACTCACTTAAACACGCATATATACACACCCACATACCTTCGCACACACATAAACAAACCCTCATTCACCCACATACATACCTACCTACCCACACCCGACAAATACATACGTACAGATAGATACAAACATGCACACACAGACACAGCCACAAAAACAAACGGGAAGAAAAATGAGAGGACTCGAGAAAGCGTGAGGACCCAGGGAAGACTGAGATACCAGGAAAGACATGAGGATGTAGGGAAGATGTTATTACCCAGGGAAGACTAGGGTACCAAGGAAGACATAAGGATTCAGGGAAGACGTGAGGACTCAGGGAAGACTACCAGGGAAGACAAATGAGAGGGCTCGAGAAAGCGTGATGACGCTTGGACGATGTGATGACCCAGGAAAGTGAAAGACTTGGAAGAGGCTGGGGACCGAGGGAAGACATATAGATTCACGAAGGACACATCAACGTCCACATTTGCTGACATTACAAGTAACCACAGGGACAGACTGGACACGCAAGGCCACGTGACCGACGTTTGAGTCTGAAAACAAAGCATCAAGAAAACGTCACAGCAGCGGAAGTCACGGACAAATGGTTACTCCACAGAGATGCCGTGACTCCCACATCAGTGCTCCCACATCAGTGCACACGTCAACTGGACAAGGTGGAGAATGCCTAGCTGAACGTTCGTTCTTTTGTTCATATGGGCGTCACCAGGTGAGTTGTCATTATATCAAACGGAAAACGTGGAACAGGAAGCCGACGGGGGAGATGCAGAAGATGAAAGGACCAAATGTTGGCAATGATGTCGGCACGGCTGGGGCAGGTCATTGACTCACTCTGGGACAACTAATCTCCTTCCATCCCTCTCCCCCTTCCCCTACTCTGCTGCCCTAGCTGTCCTCATTTGGTCCATCAACGCAAGGACAGTGGGTTACAATGGCGTCCATAGACTGGTGGCCCAGTGTTTATGTGATGACCGGCCTGCCCATCTACCCGCCAGTGAAGATGATTGCCCAGCAGGGCACAATTCTCCAAGCTTCAAGCAATCTTGTGTCCGCCATGGCTTGACCTCCCCTCGCGTGCCGGGGCCAATGCTTCAGCTACGCTGTCCAAGTCATGTTGTAAAGAACATAATTTCGCTACCTGCTGTAGGTTTATTGACGGTAATGCCCATTCTCAGAGTAGTCATTATGTTGCTGCCAAGCCTATTACCATAGTTTGCCTGGACCCTCATGTCTCGCAAGTCCAGAGTTTGTTGTCTGTGTGTTGACTGTTGACAGTCTGTGTGTTATCTGCGTGCTGTCTGTGTGTTGACTGTTGACTGTCTGTGTGTTATCTGCGTGCTGTCTTTGTGTTGACTGTTGACTGTCTGTGTGTTATCTGCGTGCTGTCTTTGTGTTGACTGTTGACTGTTGACTGTCTGTGTGTTATCTGCGTGCTGTCTTTGTGTTGACTGTTGACTGTCTGTGTGTTATCTGCGTGCTGTCTTTGTGTTGACTGTCTGTGTGTTATCTGCGTGCTGTCTTTGTGTTGACTGTTGACTGTCTGTGTGTTATCTGCGTGCTGTCTGTGTGTTGACTGTCTGTGTGTTATCTGCGTGCTGTCTGTGTGTCTGTCATAAACAATCACGCACTCTCAGACACATAAACACACACTTCGGGCACTCACACAGATACACACACCACACACAAACAACACACACACCACAAACAAAACCCACACACATCACACAAACACCACACACACTCTCACTAGGAATGAGCTCACCTGTGTCTCGGTCAGCTGTAGCTTGGAGGCCAGCGACTTGCGCTCCTGCCCAACCACGTAGTGGTTCTTCTCAAACGCCTGCTCCAGATGGAGAAGTTGGGCCGGGGAGAAAGCTGTCCTGTTTCTCTTGGGCTTCCGGTAGGGGTGGAAGAGGAGACCAGCAGGCGGGCCCACTGCGGATCAACAAGATACATCTGTCAGCCACCACACACAAGATACATCAGTCAGCCACCACACACAAGATACATCTGTCAGCCACCACACACAAGATACATCAGTCAGCCACCACACACAAGATACATCTGTCAGCCACCACACACAAGATACATCTGTCAGCCACCACACACAAGATACATCAGTCAGCCACCACACACAAGATACATCAGTCAGCCACCACACACAAGATACATCAGTCAGCCACCACACACAAGATACATCAGTCAGCGACCACACACAAGATACATCAGTCAGCCACCACACACAAGATACATCAGTCAGCGACCACACACAAGATACATCAGTCAGCCACCACACACAAGATACATCAGTCAAAGACCACACAATGGATACGTCAGTCAGAGACAACAAACAAGATACATCTGTCAGCGACCACAAACAAGATACATCTGTCAGCAAACACACACAAGATACATCAGTCAGCGACCACACACAAGATACATCAGTCAGCGAACACACACAAGATACATCAGTCAGAGACAACAAACAGGATATCAGTCAGAGACCACAAACAAGATACATCAATCAGAGATCCCACACAAGATACATCAATCAGAGATCCCACACAAGATACATCAGTCAGAGAGACCACACACAAAATACATCAGTCAGCGAACACACACAAGATACATCAAACAGAGATCCCACACAAGATACATCAGTCAGAGAGACCACACACAAAATACATCTGTCAGCGACCACACACAAGATACATCAATCAGAGATCCCACACAAGATACATCTGTCAGCGACCACACACAAGATACATCAGTCAGAGACCACACACAAGATACATCAGTCAGAGACCACACACAAGATACGTCAGTCAGAGACAACAAACAAGAGACATCAGTCAGAGACCACACACAAGATACATCAGTCAGAGGCCACACACAAGATACATCAGTCAGAGACCACACACAAGATACATCAGTCAGAGACCACACACAAAATACATCAGTCAGAGACCACACACAAGATACACCAGTCGGAGACCACACACAAGATACATCAGTCAGAGACCACACACAAGATACGTCAGTCAGAGACAACAAACAAGAGACATCAGTCAGAGACCACAGACAAGATACATCAGTCAGAGACCACACACAAGATACATCAGTCAGAGACCACACACAAGATACATCAGTCAGAGACCACACACAAAATACATAAGTCAGAGACCACACACAAGATACATCAGTCAGAGACGACACACAAGATACATCAGTCAGAGACAACAAACAAGATACACCAGTCAGAGACCACACACAAGATACATCAGTCAGAGACCACAAACAAGATACATTAGTCAGAGACAACAAACAAGATACATCAGTCAGAGACCACACACAAGATACATCAGTCAGAGACCACTCACAATATACATTAATCAGAGACAACAAACAAGATACATTATTCAGAGATCACACACAAGATACATCCGTCAGAGACCACACACAAGATACAACAGTCAGAGACAACAAACAAGATTCATCATTCAGAGACCACACACAAGATACACCAGTCAGAGACCACACACAAGATACATCAGTCAGAGACCACTCACAGGATACATCAGTCAGAGACCACACATAAGATACATCAGTCAGAGACCACACAAAAGATACATCAGTCCAGTCACAGACCACAAACAGGATACATCAGTCAGAGACCACACACAAGATACATCAGTCAGAGACCACACACAAGATACATCAGTCAGAGACCACTCACAGGATACATCAGTCAGAGACCACACATAAGATACATCAGTCAGAGACCACACAAAAGATACATCAGTCCAGTCACAGACCACAAACAGGATACATCAGTCAGAGACCACACACAAGATACATCAGTCAGAGACCACACACAAGATACATCAGTCAGAGACCACACACAAAATACATCAGTCAGAGACCACACACAAGATACATCAGTCAGAGACCAGACACAAGATACATCAGTCAGAGACAACAAACAAGATACACCAGTCAGAGACCACACACAAGATACATCAGTCAGAGACCACACACAAGATACATCAGTCAGAGACCACTCACAGGATACATCAGTCAGAGACCACACATAAGATACATCAGTCAGAGACCACACAAAAGATACATCAGTCCAGTCACAGACCACAAACAGGATACATCAGTCAGAGACCACACACAAGATACATCAGTCAGAGACCACACACAAGATACATCAGTCAGAGACCACACACAAAATACATCAGTCAGAGACCACACACAAGATACATCAGTCAGAGACCACACACAAGATACATCAGTCAGAGACAACAAACAAGATACACCAGTCAGAGACCACACACAAGATACATCAGTCACAGACCACAAACAAGATACATTAGTCAGAGACAACAAACAAGATACATCAGTCAGAGACCACACACAAGATATATACGTCAGAGACCACACACAAGATACATCAATCAGAGACCACACACAAGATACATCAGTCAGAGACTACACACAAGATACATCAATCAGAGACCACACAAAATATACATCAATCAGAGACCACACACAAGATACATCAGTCAGCGACCACACACAAGATCCATCACTCACAGACAACACACAGGATACATCAGTCAGAGACCACAAACAAGATACACCAATAAGAGACCACACACAAGATACATCAGTCAGAGACCACAAACAAGATACATTAGTCAGAGACAACAAACAAGATACATCAGTCAGAGACCACACACAAGATATATACGTCAGAGACCACACACAAGATACATCAATCAGAGACCACACACAAAATACATCAGTCAGAGACTACACACAAGATACATCAATCAGAGACCACACAAAAGATACATCAATCAGAGACCACACACAAGATACATCAGTCAGCGACCACACACAAGATCCATCACTCACAGACAACACACAGGATACATCAGTCAGAGACCACAAACAAGATACACCAATAAGAGACCACACACAAGATACATCAGTCAGAGACTACACACAAGATACATCAATCAGAGACCACACAAAAGATACATCAATCAGAGACCACACACAAGATACATCAGTCAGCGACCACACACAAGATCCATCACTCACAGACAACACACAGGATACATCAGTCAGAGACCACAAACAAGATACACCAATAAGAGACCACACACAAGATACATCAATCAGAGACCACACACAAGATACATCAGTCAGAGACCACAAACAAGATACATCAATAAGAGACCACACACAAGATACATCAGTCAGAGACCACACACAGGATAAATCAGTTACAGACCACAAACAGGATACATCAGTCAGAGACCACAAACAAGATACACCAGTCAGAGACCACACACAAGATACATCAAACAGAGACCACAAACCAGATACATCAGTCAGAGACCACGCATAAGATACATCAATCAGAGACCACACACAAGATACAGCAATCAGAGACCACAGACAAGATACATCAGTCAGCGACCACACACAAGACACATCAGTCAGAGACCACACACAAATTACATCAGTCAGAGACCACACACAAGATACATTAGTCAGAGACCACACACAAGATACATCTGTCAGCGACCACACACAAGATACATCAGTCAGAGACCACACACAAGATACATCAGTCAGAGACCACACACAAGATACGTCAGTCAGAGACAACAAACAAGAGACATCAGTCAGAGACCACACACAAGATACATCAGTCAGAGACCACACACAAGATACATCAGTCAGAGACCACACACAAAATACATCAGTCAGAGACCACACACAAGATACATCAGTCAGAGACCACACACAAGATACATCAGTCAGAGACCACACACAAGATACGTCAGTCAGAGACAACAAACAAGATACACCAGTCAGAGAAAACACACAAGATACATCAGTCAGAGACCACTCACAAGATACATTAATCAGAGACAACAAACAAGATACATCATTCAGAGATCACACACAAGATACATCCGTCAGAGACCACACACAAGATACAACAGTCAGAGACAACAAACAAGATACATCAGTCAGAGACCACACACAAGATACATCAGTCAGAGACCACACACAAGATACATTAGTCAGAGACCACTCACAGGATACATCAGTCAGAGACCACACATAAGATACATCAGTCAGAGACCACACAAAAGATACATCAGTCCAGTCACAGACCACAAAAGGATACATCAGTCAGAGACCACACACAAGATACATCAGTCAGAGACCACACACAAAATACATCAGTCAGAGACCACACACAAGATACATCAGTCAGAGACCACACACAAGATACATCAGTCAGAGACAACAAACAAGATACACCAGTCAGAGACCACACACAAGATACATCAGTCAGAGACCACAAACAAGATACATTAGTCAGAGACAACAAACAAGATACATCAGTCAGAGAACACACACAAGATACATCAGTCAGAGACCACACACAAGATACATCAATCAGAGACCACACACAAGATACATCAGTCAGAGACCACACACAAGATACATCAATCAGAGACCACACACAAGATACATCAGTCAGCGACCACACACAAGATCCATCACTCACAGACAACACACAGGATACATCAGTCAGAGACCACAAACAAGATACACCAATAAGAGACCACACACAAGATACATCAATCAGAGACCACACACAAGATACATCAGTCAGAGACCACAAACAAGATACACCAATCAGAGACCACACACAAGATACATCAGTCAGAGACCACACACAGGATAAATCAGTCACAGACCACAAACAGGATACATCAGTCAGAGACCACACATAAGATACATCAGTCAGAGACCACACAAAAGATACATCAGTTCAGTCACAGACCACAAAAGGATACATCAGTCAGAGACCACACACAAGATACATCAGTCAGAGACCA